AGCTCTGCCATCCAGAATTATTATTATTTCTAGAAATAGAAATTTCCTCATTCAAATTCCTTAGTTATTTCTTTTAAACTACAATCCAGGAAATGAACTGAGATACACTGTTTGCCACAAGAGCTAGACAGGGTCTCATTTGAAATAACTAATTTTAAGGGATGCCTTCTGTTCAAATTAAAATCAGCACTGTAGGTGGTGCTTTGSAACACCTGGGATTAGTGATTTTCAGGGTGCCAGTTCTCAGCAAYCACACCCAGCTCAATCTCAGGATTAAAATGAAGACCAATSTGGCCACTACCATATAAAAGAAACACATATTCCTCCTGTGCCWGATSCAAGACRTGGGCTCAATTAACATGATTGTTGCAGAGAAAAATGTTTAAGTGCCCATGGAAGAATTTGAATATCTTCGGCAAACCTACAGTCTTCACACAACCCTTAGTCAGAAGTCAACAGGARTTGGTGAAGTAAAATCTGGCTAATTATCAGCATATTCTTCACAAATATATGGTTTAAAACTGAAACCACACAAGAGTCTGACACAACCCTCATTCCATTGTGATCACTCAAAAATATCAAGCATTTGCTTGCTGAAATAATAAAGTCACACTTCCAAGAGTTACCCTTGAAAGTCTTGGAAGACATTAGCATTAAGATCACTGTGATGGTGAATGTTTCTCCTGACCACAAGATTCTCTTGATTGATTCAGGCAATTAAATGCTTACACTTTTACACTGAAAAAAGAAAGAAAAAGGAAAGGGAGAATGAAGCGAAGGAAGCAAAGGAAGAAAAGAGAGAAAAATCAGAAATAGCCATAGTTGGTAGTTCGAAAGCACTTTTATATTTTGGCTGTTACCAAAGTTGCATTAATTTAGCACTTAAGTGTACCGAACTCAGGTACCAAAAATGGAGGATGCTGCTCACTATGAAAGACAAAAGGTGCAGTAYGAACATTTGTTGTTGCTCAAGAAATTCCATCTAAGAGTAAAATTTACATCTAATTCATGGATGTGCCATGTCAGAGCTATAAATGCTGACAGCAAAACGGAAAACTATAGTATCCATAAAGTGTCCACACAAGTGATGACTTCACCGAGATCCAGATATCAGTGAAGCTACTGTAACATTTTAAGCTTCTGTTTCTAATGATTATGCATAATTTCATGATAAYGCATAATTTTACAAATACACGSTTGGACCTGTAAAGGAGGAGTCATGGAAAACTAGCAAGAAAACTCCACAAGATCTGAACAGGATGAATGCTTCTAAGGATACCATGCTCCTAAGCTTACTATGCCTCACTTCACCTTTAGACTTCTGTGAGCAGATCTGGGCAAAAGGGTACAAAATTTGCTTGTAACACAATGTCATTTAAATTACTCAAGGATAAAAAAAATATGATGAACTTTAGACAGGCCCAGCRAGGCAAAACAGATGACAATACAACAATTACTGAAATTCACCTTGRCAAATGTACAGGGGAAATGCAACTCTTACATTCTTACCAGGCAGAATTTCATATCAACTGCATGAAGTGGAGAAGGAGATCTCAACATAAAGAGACAGCTCAGTTGGCATTACAGCACCATGTGTTTCTATGATTCCCACTTAATGAGRCATTGGACTGAAAAGTAGACATGAGAGGACTACTACAAAGAACATTTATAAATAACAAGTACTCTCATAGTGAAATCAAATCCTGCATATCATGATACKCTCAATCTYGAACATCATCTATTATAARGCTTTATTTRCTAGGTCAGCCCTGTGTACATTCTTCTGAGACATCTTGTGTGTATGCTGTCAGACAAGACATCAGGCTGGATGAACCTTTGTTCTGATCCAGTCTGGCAAGTTGCACATGCTTATGCTTTTGCTGAAGTTTAGAGACAAGTATAGATTGTGGCTTGGTTAACTGTGGTCAAGTGAACATTAATTATCATTGAATCATTACAAYGAAGAAAAGATTTCAKGTAGCTGGTCTCATGGATCTTWTGCATGTGATGTTAAACCTGCCAATTCTAGTGTTAATGATACTGCAGTTTTGAATTCGGAGCTTGAAATTAGCACAAGAAGAGTGCTGATCTGGCTAAARTTACAGTTYTACAAACAATGGTACATATCAGAAGCATTATTTCTATGTTAAATGCATGAGCAAATTATGTTGACAAACACTAAGCATACAGCTTGCTGTTTGCTTGCAAACAGCAATGGAGTGGACTAATATAAAGTGGRATACATATTGAAATAAAGGAGAGCTTGAGCTCTCAGATCATGTGGTGGGCTACTTGCTCTGACTGCTTGAATAAAAGGAA